GCCGCCTGGCAGCCCTCAACCGCTTTCTATCTAAATCAGCGGAGAAGTCTTTACCCTTCTTCCAAATCATGAGGAAGGCGGTTAGTTTTCAATGGACTTCAGAATGCCAGGAGGCTTTCGACGAGCTCAAACGATATCTATCTTCACCTCCTGTGCTCTCCAAACCCAAGGTGGGGGAGACCCTCTATCTCTACCTTGGGGTCAGCCCGGCAGCCATCAGCTCCGTACTCATCCGGGAGGAAGACGGCATCCAACATGCCATCTTCTATGTAAGCAAAACTCTAAGGGAGGCCGAGCTCAGGTACTCCCCTGTGGAAAAAACGGTGTTAGCCATCGTTTGGACCGTCAAAAAGTTGGGCCACTACTTTCAGGCTCACCCGGTTCAGGTCCTCACTCATCATCCCCTCGGCGCCCTCATGAGGAGCCCCACCAGCTCCTCCCGCATGGTGAAATGGGCTATCTTCTTGAGCCAGTACAACATTGACATCCGCCCAAGGCCTGCCATCAAGGGCCAAGCCCTGGCAGACTTTGTGACGGAGTGTACCGCAAGGGCAGCCACGGACGGGGAGCCCTCGGCTGCCTCAGATGATTGGTGGACCCTCTACACTGACGGCTCCTCCGCGACCAAAGCATGCGGGGGAGGGGTAGTCCTCATTACTCCTGAGGGCTTCAGGGCCTACTATGCAATCCGCTTCTCCTTCAAAGTCTCCAACAACGAGGCCGAATATGAGGCCCTCCTATGTGGCCTTCGGCTGGCTGCCAACATGAGGGCTCGACAGATCCACATCAAATGCGACTCCAAGTTGGTCGTTGGCCAAATCTCCGAAGAATATGAGGCCAAGGAGGGGAGAATGAAACAGTACAAGGAAGCGGCCAAGGAGTTGCTTAAGGTATTTGAGGCACACTCTCTCACTCAAATACCGAGGGCTCAGAACTCCGAGGCCGACATATTATCTAAGCTCTCGGCCGACTCCCCCGAACACATCTCCAAAATTGCCAAAATCGAGGAACTCAGCCTCTCAAGCATCCATGCAAGCCCCGTTATGAACATACAACAACGCCAAGAGGATTGGATCTCAGATATCACCGCCTTCATCTCCACAGGGCAGCTACCCGAGAATGAAACCCGCGCTAAACTGGCAAAGCTGAGGGCTCCCAGCTACACCTTCGAGGATGGAAGGCTCTACAAACGATCTTACAACGGCACGCTACTTCGGTGCCTTCATCAAGTGGCACTTGCTCAGCTCACCAGGGACCCTTCTCCATGTCCCGAAGGCTCATTCTCCAGGGCTACTTCTGGCCAACCATGGCCAGAGATTGTGCTGACCTTGCCCGGAGGTGCACCGCATGTCAACATTTCCAGAAAGCCCCCGGCAGGCCAGCGGTCAACTATGCCCCCATCAACACATCTGTCCCTTTTTCTCAATGGGGGATAGACCTTGTGGGCCCTCTGCCGAGGGGTACCTCCAACAACAGGTACATCATTGTGGCCATTGACTACTTTACCAAATGGGTGGAGGCTGAGCCCCTCGCTAGTATCACAGAGGCGAAGTGCCGTCATTTTGTCCTCAAGAACATCCTCACCAGGTTTGGCGTCCCTCAGCAGATTATCTCCGACAATGGGACACAGTTTGAGGCAGCCCCCTTCTGTGCCCTTCTGGAGGCATGGGGCATCAAGCACACCTTCTCCTCCGTTGCCTACCCTCAAGGCAACGGGCAAGTAGAGAATGCCAACCGGACCTTGCTCGAGGGCCTCAAAAAGAAGCTGGAGGCCGAGGGCGGTGGTTTGGTGGAAGAACTTCACAATATCCTGTGGGCCTACCGCACCACCCCTCGGCGAGCAACAGGTGAAACACCCTTCTCCCTCTGCTACGGTTTTGAAGCCAAAGCTCCTACGGAAGTCACCCTTCCCACCCGAAGGGTGATCCAATATGACCCCGAGGTCAACGACAGCAACATGGCCCTCGACCTCCACCTCATTTCAGAACGCCGGGAGCAGGCCTTCATCCGGGCAGAAAATTACCGAAGGCAAATCAAAAGCTACATCAACGCCAAAGTTCGCACCAGAGAATTCCAAGTGGGGGACTATGTCCTCCGGAGGAGGGAAGCCAGCCAACCAACCGAGGGAGGAAAAATGGCACCAAAATTCGAAGGCCCCTACATCATAGCAGCCATCATCAAACCTGGGACCTACAAGCTCAAGCGCCCCAACGGGAAAGAAGTCCCTAGGCACTGGAATGTACACCACTTAGTTAAATTTTACCAATAATGTAAGAGCGACCAAGCCCTCATAACTAGTGAATGTACTATCCTATGGCCCAAGGCCTCCAATTTCGAAGAATGAAGATACATTCAAGACATCAAGCCCTCATACTGACTACAGGCCCCCGGCCTCACCACGAGAAGAACCCCTTCCGGCACCAAGTGCCGAGGGCGGACACCATCAACACCTACAACAACAATGAAAACACCCATGTTTTCAGTCAAGACCCCTCGGTACCAAGTACCGAGGGTACATCCCCACCTTCAACATCAAAAGATGAGAACACCAAGTGTTTCTACAAAATACCCCTCGGCACCCAGTGCCGAGGGTACACCTCCATCATCAAACATCGAAACGAAGAAAAAACACCAAGTGTTTCAAAGAAGACCCCTCGGCACCCAGTGCCAGGGATATGCTCTCCTATCAACTTCCAAACATCTATTGGGAAACACCAAGTGTTTCATTTGAAGACCCTTCGGTACCAAGTACCGAGGGTAGACACCTCCATCAACTGAAACAAAGGAGAACACCAAGTGTTCCTACAGAAGACCCCTCGGTACCAAGTACCGGGGGCTACACATCGAAACTAACACCAAGTGTTGTTTCTAAAAGCCGTACCCCACGAGGACGCATATACCGAAGGCGCCACCATCGGTGCCGGCGACACGTAGTGCCCCCGGCCATTTGCAACTAGTGTGCAAATGAAAACCCTTCCTTGAAACGCTTTCCGCGTCATTACCCCCAGGGTATGACAGGCATGAGAAATGCCCAGGATTCGACTTTCAAAAACGGAACGCTATCCGCGTCATCACCCCAAGGGTGTGACAGGCACGAGAAATGCCCAGGATTCGACTTCCAAACCGAAACGCTCCCCGCGCCACCACCCCAAGGGTGTGGCAGGCCACGGACTATGTCTAGCACCGAGGGGACGACTTTCAAAAATGAGGCGCTTTCCGCGCCATCCCCCAAGGGGAGGCAGGTTACGGACCACCATATCTTGTGCCCAGGAAACGACCCTCGATCCCCTCGGAACTCGGAAGGTTAACCCGAGGGAGGAGAGCCATTGGTGTATTCTGATGGTCTCCTAATAGGCCCAGCCTTACCAAGAAACCAAGTTTCTTGATGCCTTCCCTTCACCACCAACCAAAAAAAAAGGGGGTGAAGGGGAGTAGACTCAGCGAGAAATCAAAGAGTACACTCCAACAGATCACAACATCCCGAGGGCTCCCCACGGGGACACCTCCGGTAATTGAAGGCTCCTATTTCCTGAAGGATACTACTCAAACAAATATCATCAAGAAACGGTTAAGTCCACTGCCTGGTCACCTCCGGTCACACAAACACCGAAGGCTTCAGCAAGGGTCAAAATCTACAACTTTTAAAGTGTATGCCGAGGGCACACACTCATCATTGGCATTCTTCACAACAGCAGGATTCCACACATACTTGGCCCTCGGCCAGAGACTCATACAACACAAGGGATCTACATCCGGAAGCTCAACATCAATTTACGCTTAGAAAATATTCTAAGTCATAAATGAGTAGCCCCCGGGCATCTCGCAAAGTAATGCAGAGTCAGAGGGCACCTATCACCCGAAGGCTACACAAGGAAGCAGCGCTTGAAAAAATTCTAAGTCCTAAAGAGGGGCCCCCGGCTATGCGATACAACAACACTTGCAAAAAAAAAAATCTAAAAGATGGGCCCCCGGCTCAATCAATATTACAGCTAAGTGAATATGACAGTCGAAGGTTATACATCAAGAAGGGATGCCATATCCCGAAGGCTCCCGAGGGAAAATCTACACTTAGAATATTTTCTAAGTCCTACATGTTTTTCCCCGGTCAACTGCTCATACGTCAAGAAGGGATGCCATCTCCCGAAGGCTCCCAAGGGAAAATCTACACTTAGAACATTTTCTAAGTCCTGCATATTTTTCCCCCGGCCAACTACTCATACATCATGCAGGGATGCCATCTCCCGAAGGCTCCCAAGGGAAAATCTACACTTAGAATATTTTCTAAGTCCTACATGTTTTTCCCCGGTCAACTGCTCATACGTCAAGAAGGGATTCCATCTCCCGAAGGCTCCCAAGGGAAAATCTACACTTAGGATATTTTCTAAGTCCTGCATATTCCCCCCCCCCCCCCCCCCCCCGGTCAACTACTCATACATCATGAAGGGATGCCATCTCCCGAAGGCTCCCAAGGGAAACTCTACACTTAGAAGATTCTCTAAGTCCCACATATTTCACCCTCATCTCAAGGGACCTAATTGCCGAAGGCTACCTATCAATCGAAGGCTACAGTACACAAGGAATCAACGCTCAAGAAAATTTTCTAAGCCCTAAAGAATTGGCCCCCGGCCTATTCAATATTTCAGTTGGGGCTCCACAGTAGCCGAAGGCTACGTGACATACTACACTTGCAAAAAATTTCTAAGTCCTGTACATTGGGCCCTCGGTCCAATATTCACGCATCAGGAAGGGATGCCAACTCCCGAAGGCTCCCTATGGTGTGCTACACTTAGAAAAATTTTTCTAAGTCCTAGGAATTGGGTTACTGCAAACACCCGAAGGCCCTATGGTGTGCTACACTTAGAAAAATTTTCTAAGTCCTAATTCCTGCTGAACCCTCGGTTGCCTATCCAGCAGAGGGTGCCCAACTACCGAAGGCTTCCAAGGGCAAGCTACAATCAGAAAATATTCTAAGTCCTAAAACATACATTCAAAGGAACAAAGGCATACATCCAAAGCAAGACGAAGGCATATATTCGACAATGAACAAATCAAAAGGAAGCATGTTATATATCAAAGGCCCGAGGGCATATGTACTCATTCGTTCAAAAAAAGGAAGTTTAATTGCACTGTTACAAAGGAGGCCAAGGCCAACAATTACAACACAAAAGGGGGGAATACAATTCAAGAAGGGGGGACTGTGGACATCGCCTCGCTCTCGGCTTCATCCTCTTCACCCCCAAGGCCGCACTCCCGGAGGGTCTCCGAGTCTTCAAGAACTGGCCTCTCTTCCCCCTCGGGGAGCGGGATCCTGACATCTGGCTGGGGGGGGGGGGAGGCCATAAGCCTCTGGACGGAACTCCTCCGGTGCCACCTGAAAGTGCTTCGCAAGCTTCCGGTAGATAAGGCGTTGGGTGAAGAACTCCCCGCCTTGGTAGTACGAGTCGCCCCTCTCAGCAAGCCACATCTTTCCGGGGCCTCCGACCCACTCGTCCACTGAAGCCCCCACCACCGAAGCAAGCCACTCCCTCCGGTCTTCGGCCTTCCACCCCTCGGCTGTGAAGCTGGTCACCGCATCCTCTCGGGCCTTGGAGACGGCCTCTTCTTGAGCCGTGCGGGCTTCATCGGCGGCAATGCGGGCGGCGGCCTCCCCGGCTCTGGCTAGTCCCTCATTAACCCCTTCGGCCCTTGCAGCCTGCACCCTCTGCTCCATGCCGTCAGCGGCCAGACGGAGAGAGTCCTCGGCTTCAGCAAGCTTCTTCCTGAGGAGGGCGGCCTCCCCCTCGGCGGCACCCTTGGCCTCCCTCATTTGATCCACCCTTCGGAGGTGCTCGCAGAGGCCCATAAAACTCTGCAATTCACGAAGGCAAGAATAAGGCATAATGAACATAATACAGAAGGAAAACATAACAATGAACAAAGAAGGGAGGGTGACTTACGGAGGCAGCATTCAGGAGGACCTTCGCCTCGAGGGATCCCTCGTCCAGCCGGGCAAGGGCCAGTCGGTCGGCCGACGGCAGCATCTGGCTCATCAGAGCCGAAGGGTTCAAACTGCCCTCCAACACGGAGGCCCCCTTCGGTACTAACGCCTCCAACCTCTCCCGCCCAAAGAACTCCTGATTGATTTGTTCCTGGGGGTGGAGGCAGAAGCGTGCCCTTCGTCAACGATCACCACCACATCGGTGATCGGCTTTTTGGTAGGGGCGGTGGTCTTCGGCTTCTTGGCCGGGGGCTCGGTCCCCTTTCCAGCGATCTTCTTTTTTACGGGCCCGGCACCTTTGGACCCTCCAGCGCCAGCAGCGGCGGCAGCAGTTTGAGAGGGCCCCTCCCTGGCAGAAGCGCCCGTCGGGGCCTTCTTCTTCCCTTTCGCGTTTTTCAGAGCGAAGAGGGAACCGACGTCCATATTGTTACCTGCAAGCAACAAAAAAACACAGGAGGGTTAGATCGAAGGCTACCAGTTACTACGTCATAAAAAAAGGGGGGAATAAGAGAGAACTATCAACGCATCAGTGAACAATTCGGTGATCACCTCCAGCGCCTTCGAAGACCCGATCGAGGGGAGGATATCTCTCATCCGAAGAGCCCCTTGGCCTGAACTGCCGGAAGCCCAGGCTAAGCAAATCCTCCGGGAGGGTGACTTCTCTGATCTTGACGTGCTTGTCAGACCCCTCCGGCTTCTTGGCAAGCACTTTGCCGTTCTTCTCCAAAGCTGCGCTCCCCACCTTCGGATGGCGCCGGAAGCTATTACGGAGCTGGGTCGGGAAGGGGTTCTCCTCGAGGCGGATGTAGCAGAACCTCTCCTTCCACCCCTTGTGAGACGAGGGCACATCATCAAAAAGCCGGAACTCTGGTACCTGCTGAAGGTTGGCAAAGCCCTCAACATTTGAATGTCCCCCCGGCAGAGGTTGAAGGACATAAAGAATTGATCAAGTGTGGGCTCGACCCCCCGGCTCTGACACAAGGAGAGGAAGCCGGCCACATAGGAGTGGTTGTTGGGCGTTAGCTGGCAAGGGGCCAACCCCACAAATCTCAGATACTCCAAGAGAAAAGGATGGAGCGGGAACCGAAGCCCCATCTCCACCGAGAGGGTGTGAGCAGCAAAACACCCCTCGGGCGCATATCGCAGCAAATCATCCGCCCTGGGCTCCACCACGCGCGCCGAAGGTCCAACCAGCATCTGGGTGGACTGGTATTCTGCCGGGGACGCCTTCGTCTTCAGCTCTAGAGCGGCAGTATTCAGGAACGAATGGCCCTCGGGTATGCCCACCGGTTGCCCAGCATCAACTGCCGCTTGCTTCTTCCTTGGGGCCGCCTTCATCTTGTTTTTCTTCCCGGGAGCCACACTTATGGGCGTCGGATCCAATGGCCGGGAGGAGCTGGCTTCCCCGGCACCCCGGGGGGAGGAATGGCGACCGTCACCTTCAGCCTCTCTCTCTCCTCTTCTTGCTCGGCGGTTTGCACGGTGAGGGCAAGCTCTTCATCCTCGTTTTCTTGCTCGAAGCCCTCGGCTTCGACTTCGGCCTGAAGGTCCTTCTCCACTTCCATGGCCACTGCGGCATCACCACCCGCCGAGGACTCCACGCTCGAAGACTCCACATCTGAGCATGTCTCCATCTCTACTGAAGGCTCCCCCGAGATATCCTGGGAGTCGCTCTGTGATGACATCTGCTCACTAATTCGAAGGCTCGGGAAAACTAAGGTTTCCTAGGAAATTCTATCTCCTAACCTAGGGGCACAGGGCACAGCTAAACTAGAAGGAGAAAGGTGGGGGGGAACTGACCTTGAAAGCTGAGTTTTTACCGAAGGCTTGAGTTTCTCTCTCTAGAATTTTTGCCAGAGCTTCGCTACACTGAGTTCGCACAGCGGGGAATGGCCCTGGCCTTGGGGTATTTATAGGCGTTGGAATCCGGGCTTGGGCCTGGATTCCGGGGCCCCGAATGGACCGCCATCATTACACGCCGCGTCTTCGCCCAACCAGTGATGCCGCCCACGGACAGCCAACCGTCACACGCCACGTGTACCCCCCCAACGGCTATATCCTGGCGGTACGTATTCCAACGGATATATTCCCAACGGCTATATTCTGGGAGCCCCCGGACCTTTTTTACTTCACTCCACTTCACCAAGGAGAGCCTCCGGGTACACTTACCCAGAGCCGCCCCCGGGTTGTGCCCCACACAGCACATAACAGACGCCTTCGGGATCACTCTTTCGGAAACCCAAGGTTTCATATCAGGGCACCCCTCGGGGATTCCCCCCTCAGCACTGCAAAACCGGGTAGCCCCCGGGGAGTTGCCTCATTGACGGATAACCCATGGCACACAGGTAATGGGAGCCCTCAGGTATCTTCATCACCAACTAATCAACAAACAGTAGACCCCCCGGTAACAACTCCACCACTGCCCTCATCCATCAGGCCCTCGATCCCCGGATTGAGGGGCTCCCCTTCGGCACCCCCAGGACATCAACAGCAAGCCTTCGGCTAATCAACACATGAGCCCTCAGAACAAGGAAGAGCCTTCGGCATTACCGTTGTTCTCCATTTTTTACCAAGGTTTCACATTTTCGATTCATCATTGGGGGAATTCGGTGCACTCTTTTTCCCTCATTAGGATTTTTTCCCCCAGGGTTTTTCCTAATGAGGTTTTTAACGAGGCATCCCCCCAAAATGAAACGAAAAGCGTCAGCCTTCGGCCCACAACAGCAACGCAACTACTCTACTCCTTTTCACCACTTTACAAGTGCCTCAAGGAGTGGGGGACTGGAGGACCCCCTCGGGAAATTACAAAACTAGTGAAATTCCAACAAACGACAAAGCAAGCCCTCAAGTCCCGACATGTGGGTAACTGAGGGACTGCCTTCGGCAGGGACATAAAAGCAACAACTCCTCACCAACTTCAGAGGTTACGACAGGACAACGTCAAAGGGCAAGCACAAATTACTCCTTTTCCCTCAAGTACCTTTCGGCAAAAGGAGTGAGGGACTCCTGATGGAGTATATGGCCCGGGAACCCCCGGCCCACAGACTCATACTACTCCAGCGAAGGCCCAGAAGGACCAACAGGCCCAAATCACAGCGCCCAGAGTACCAAGCAGCCCGCACTACGCGCCAGGGGTGCCTTCGGCCCCCTGGCCGAAGGCTCTAAATTCTCACAGAACGGGTTTCTCAAGCAAATTAAGAAACTGGGAGAAAACGGCGAAAACAGTAGCCCTCGGCACTGTGAGCCCTCGGCACCAGGGTGCCATCGGTTGGAGGAGCCCTCGGCTACTGCTCTATAGCCGAAGGCATCTCACTCGACAAGATATCCGCCTCACATGCGTAAAGATCACCGAACCCTGCACAGACGTCCCATCCAACAGCCGCATTAAATGCGGCCACATGCGGCTGCCAGCGCCAACCAGTTGAGGTGGCCCCTCGGCCAATGAGCGCTTGACACGTGTCCTTGTCCGGCATTTATTGCTACTATAAATAGCACCCCATTTCCCCATTTGTAACCACGGCATCCATACTGAATACACTCTCTCTCTTACTTACTTGTGCTCTGACTTCTCTCTAAGTTACTCCCCGCAATAACCCTTCGGATATATACCCCCGGGTAGACTATCCATCAACTACCTCCATAGAATCTCTTAACACTTTTAGACCATCTTGCACACATAAATTTATAACATGACATGCACATCGTTGATGAAAAAATATACCCATCAAAGAAGTAGAACCACACAATTCACGCAATCTAGGAATAGCAGCAGTATTATTAGTAGCATTATCAAAACCAATAGCAAACACCTCATCATTCAAATTATACTCAATTAAAATACGCTCAATCAAAATATAAATATGTTCAGAGGTGTGACGATCCTTAAATTCACGAAAAGCAAGAACACGTTTATGCATATTCCAATCACTATCAATATAATGTGCAGTCAGACCCAAATAATGTAAATTATGATAAGTATCCTCCCATATGTCAGAACATTCAGTAACACGCCCATCAAAGTTTGCAAAATAATTTTGTAACCTTACCTTTTCCGAACCATAAAGCCTTACAATTCCTTTCTTAACCGTTTTGCGGCTATAACCTCTATATTGAGGATTTAAACAAGTTTGTGCATAATCTTTGAACGCAAGACTTTCAGAAAACAAATAAGACAATTTTTCTTCACCAAGTAAGTTAGCCATACTAGTCAAATTTTGTGCATCATTGTATGAGAAATTACCAAAAGGTTGTTAGTTATTTGCAAACCTCGATATTTGAGTTTGCTTCCCCGTTCCGCCGCCTAATTTTGCACACTCTACCGTGTGTTTAGCCTTAAGATGCCTTGCGGCGGATCCGTATCCGCCGGAAATCCCCAAACTATGGTTTTTGTTGCACCACTTGCAAGTTGCATTCCAATTCCCGGTCTTCGGGTCCTTCCACTTATCAAAATTATTAAGCATTAGTTCAGATTTACTTTTTTCGTACCGGTTTGGGATGAGGCGGGCTCGTCGGCGTCGTGGCTGCCGCCACCCTCCTCCGCGTCCATCTCCGGAATTACTTCCTCCACATCGTCGTCCTCGAGCTCTTCTTCGTCAATGGTCCTCGGCTGGTCTTGGAAAAAACGGCTATTATGTCGGTGCAATTCTTGTTCTAGTTGTTCATCGGTCATCGCATCCCCATCCCTTCTTGCGTAACCTGTATCAAAATCATCTCGGCTTTGAGATGAAGAGCCGATATGTGATTTACCTTTGCGGGATCTCTTCCTCGCAAGCTCGTTCGTTCGGTTGCGATCGAGGTTACCCATATCAACCGAATATCTACCACCTTCCATCTAAAAAAACTAACAAATATTAATTGATAAAAACAATTCGAACTAATGAAATAAAATTCTAACAATTCTAACTTTAATGAAATAAAATTATTTGAACTAATCAATAGTATTTTTTAATAAATATTTAAAACTAACAATTTACTAGTTTTTTGTACTAGTTATTTTATGTACTAACAATCAAAGTATTATATCAAATGTACTCATTCGTACTAAAATGTACTAACAATTCGAGCTAAGGAAATAAAATGTACTATCAAACTAACAATTTTATAGCAAAAATTGTAATGAACTAATTAACTACTTTAATGAAAAATGTAACAATTCGTGGGAAAAACAAATGGGAGTAATAGAATGAATTTAACTAATATTAATATACTAATTAAGTAGATATAAGTAGATAATAAGTAGAGATTAAGCAGATAAGAAATATAATTAATATAATATATGTATTTATAAATAGATAATTATATATAAGTAGATAAGAAATATAAGTAATATAATATACTCCCTCCGATTCCAAAACAAGTTCCACATTTGACTTCACACATATTAAGAAAATAAATTTGACTTTACTGTGGAGTGCACTGTTTGGCACTGTTTGAACACTGTTTGGCACTGTTTGACACTGTTTTGATGTAGATAATAAGGAAATGTTTGAAAGTGGAACTTAATTTTGAATCTGCCCGAAAAGGAAAGGTGGAACTTGTTTCAGAAACGGAGGGAGTATGTATTTATAAGTAGATATATAATATATTGGAGAATAAGAGAATTTGAGAAGATGAAGATGAAGATAATTAGAGAGTAGAGAGTAGGATTTAGGAAGAGTTGGAGAAGAGATATGGAAAAATATTTAAGATTAGGAGTATTTATAGTTTTTTACCCCACCCCCACCCCACCCCCACCCCCCAAACTGCCCGGACCCCCCTGCCAGCCCACCCAACGGCTATAAAGCCATTTGGGTAGTCCCAGCCCAACCTAACGGCTCTTTTGACCCAAAACAAAAAAAAATGACTGTTGTGACCCGACCCGGGCCTGACCCGGCCGGGCCGGGTCACGTTTTGTCGGAACCAAGACCGCCCCCCGCTGCCCGGTTCACTTTTTTTGTTTTTTCCATTTGTTTTTATTTTCCTTGGGTAGGGCGGGGTGTTTTGGGGAGGTTTGAGGGGTGGGGTGAGGGGGGGGGTCGAGGATTAATTAGAAAGCAAAAAAAATAAATAGACCCGGCCCCGCCCCGCCCCGGTTTGGCCCGAACCCGGTATTAACCCGGGCCAGTTCCGGGCCCAACAATCTGCAAAAAAAACCCGCTTGGGCTCGGCCCGGAACCGGAACCGGACCGGCCCGGGTCCATCCCTATACAAAAGTAACAAAATCCTAAGTAAAGGAACATTCAGAGCCCGTTCGGTAACACAAAAATTGGCTGATTCGGCTGATTCTGTTGAAATTTATGAAGTTCTGGCTGAAGTGACTGCATTGGCTGATTTTGCTGATTTTTAAAAAAACTTATTTTTAAAATATATTTTATTAATAAAATAAAGGAAAAATTAAACCAGAAAAGTGACTTCAACCTTACTATAGCTAAAATGATCATCTATAGTAATTTCAGCCAATACAACCAGAAAAGTAACTTCAACCTTACTTTTTCTTATTATCACACAATTCAGCGCGTCAAAATAAAAGTTACGTGTGTGATGAAAAAGTTGGCCGATAAGCCTGATAAACCGAAAACAATGTTACCAAACGGTCTGATAAACCTGATAACCCGAAAAAGGTGTTACCAAAAGTTGGCTAATAAGCCTGATAAGACCGACAAATTAAACACCCAAGTTACATTGGGCTTAGCAAATAATTCACCAGTTTAATGGGTGATCTATTTTTCGAATTATAAACCTTGTTAACCAATTTATTTCATCAAACATGTAACTTTCTATTAGGACTCCTAACTTTTCTACTTATTTTCTATTAGTGAGTGGGCAAATTTGCTTTCAAACAAAGTTTCAATTTTTTGGTCTACTCATTCATAAAATAAAATTTATATAGATTTATTGACGAAATATTGTACACCAAATTTTGTAGAAACATTTTACTTTTTAACGTATTTTCACGTGCAAACAAATGGATATTGTGTTCTTAATACTTTTTCATTTGTTTATGATGTGTTGATGTGTTTGGTTATGCATATCGGATAAGTCACCAAACGATTTGACGACTTTTCCCGACCAGAGTTAAACCCAGCAGTATATTGGTAAATAGTTTTAACCCAAGATTAATTTCGTAATTATTTAATTAATTAGCGTTAATACGGGAAAAAACTCTCCAAATCACGATTTCTTTAATCTTTCCAATGTAAATCACTCTCTTTAGCCTATACGTAGTATTTTAGGAGCTAAAATCCTACAGAATTCAAAAGAGTGGCCACTTGCATGTTACATTCAATACATGTGCAAACTCTACTACTTAAATATTTCCATGTAGAAATGGCAAATTTGCCAGAAAGCTCAATCTAATGTTCTCATCTTGATATTAAGAGGAACTTGCACCTTCCCCGCTGCTCTGCGCAATGGTCTTCCTAAAGTTGCTCTTTTCAAACATGACGATTTGTTGCCCGAGGGAGTATGACCATCTTCAACCATCTTATCACATTTACTTGCAGTATCTTCACATTCAAACGCTTTCTTAGCCGCTTCTCGTTGTTGCCTTCTTAAACAATGTCTATACATAGAACTTAGATGATCAATGTTGGGGAAGCTTTGACCCCAAATAGCCTTGTGAGATGCAAATGCTAACAACTGTTCCCCTCACTAAGGTGGAATCTCCCACCCCAAATAGCCTTGTGAGATGCAAATACCCCGATCCGACATGATTTTTGGGAGGATTTAATCACAGTGACTCAGTCGGTCCAATGATGGTAGGCCTTTTTCCTGTGCGCACCAGAGGCCCAGCCTTATTTCAGGTTCTGTGACCTTCACACGGTCGCTGCGGGTTTCGAACCTCGGTCACTTGGTCCTAATTTCCCACCACTGAACCAACTGAGCTACCCGTGCGGGTATCATCACTTTTTTCCTTTCGACCATCCTTAATTTTCTTATAAATTTCGGCTAGTTTTTGTTTAGATCAAAAGTGAAAATTTTCTTAAAGTAGATAACCAAAAGTGAGAATTACTAAACATAGTTTAAGATCAAAAGTGAAAATTTGTTATAAGTCATCGTCATCATCATTACCCTAGTGTTGCAAAGGCTCCGACCTACGGTGGCGTAAGGGGGGTCGAATGTACTATGTTCACTAAAAGGAGCAAAAATGTTTTGGAATTTAAAAACATGAATACTATGTTCTTATTTCCTAAATAAGAGTAATTACTATCAAAATTGAAAATATTGCTTTGTTTAAAGTCTGGTAATGACAAAACATGACAATAAATACTTCTATTTCTGGAATAAAAACGTAGTAATCATATTTTTGAATGCCTAAACGTTTTTGCTCCTACTTAAGGCAATTTATTTAAGTGAATCATACCGTTTGCTATCTGCAGCTGTCTTTTCTGAAGCTTGTTGAGAAGTAGTTGAATAGACCATTGCTGAAAAGATTCTAGAGATTAGACTGAAATTTGAATAGTTCAAAAGTATATGAATGGATCTCTTTGTGAAACAAAATTTGATGAGATTTTATTTTGTAGTTCTTTATGTAAAAAAATGATCTGCCCTAAATCTGGCATTTACATCGGCTCCTTGTAGCTTGAAGTTTCCTATTGCTTTTGTTTGGTTTTGCATCTGCATTTGGTGTGCAGCCCCCAACTTCAGCCTCCTTATTCTACACATAAAAGAGCATATACATGCAATCACATAAAAATTTGGGGACTGTAATATACTTCATAAATTATCATTAATCTATATATGAGCCACTGAGCCAGTGTTTTGATTCAATGCATCATTCTTTGGGGATAGGGTTGGTTTTGTTCTCTTTCTGGTATTTTAGGATAACAGACTCAGAAAGCCTAAATAATAACCTTCATCGCAGTCGAGTATGGACCGGACCTTACCTTAACATCGAATCTTGCTTTGAGCATGGCCTCCTTGCATACTAGCTCATGCTGCAGTGCCTTTACCTGAATTCACCAACTGGAAATCACTAAATTTTCAAAATTCAAATGACTTGATTATACCCTTTCTGTCCTTTCCACAAAAAAGGAAAAGATGTTACCTTTTCTTTATTAAAGTGAAGTTCCTGCAAGAATTACATGGTCTCAACAGCATTAGACAGCGGTAATGTAGAATTTCAGTTAAGATCTATTCATTTGAACTTAAGTTTACTACTTTAGCTACAAATAGTATGGTCTAGTATAAACTGATTTGAGCCTTTTAAGTCAGATCAGATATGATTTGTTTAAATCTGAGTCTAGTCTTTTTAAGTCGGGTTTGTTCATGTCTGTTTCGGTACCGTACCTGATCTTTTTAAATCTCGTCTAGTGTTATCCTTAATTAAAATAAGTTCAAATGAAGATGTCTTAACATTTGACATTTTCTCAAATGAAACTACTAACCGCCAACATGTGAGTATTAGATTGAGCAAGATTCGAGTTCTGCAGCTGAACTTTCTGAAAACCCGCTCTCAGTGCATTCAGCTCAATTCCACTCATTTCGATTACTTTGCTATTCATATAACAATTTGAAAAAACACACATTGAACAGGAAGATCTCAAGAGAACCATACACTATGTGAGGAAAAGAAAAACATTAAAAACCATACTTTCTTTCTTGTATGAGTCTCGCCAGTGCAATGTTTTCCTGTTTTAAGACATCCACAAAATAAAAAAACAATCTTTTAGGACTTGACTATTTGAGATAGACACAGATAGTGAGTGAAGCCAATCCATTTAGAATTTGAGCTATAATGCATAGAAGACATTCTTTAAATATAGGAACTTGAAATAGAAACAGAGGCGGAACCAGAACAGTTTTTGAGGGGGCTGAAAAGTATGTCAAAATGAAGAGGATTTAAAACATCTACTGCCTCGAATTGATCGATTGGAGAATTAGTAAAGTAGAACATTTAAAACATCGAATTGATCGATTCGAGAATTAGTAAAGTAAAACATGTTTGATTGAGGTTTATGCAGAAAAGAGAGAATTAACTGAAACCACAAATTCTTTACGTAAAAAGAAAAGTGACAAAATTAGCGGGACAACCAAAAAAGGAAACTTGTCAAAATTTTAAGGGACGTAAGAACATTATTTTTATTATATTATTTTTAGGGTAAACATGATGAAACAGTCTACAAACAGCTCTAATTATATCCGGAGTACTCTTTTGTACTTGGTTTCTAATGAAAGGATCAAAGGCAAAAATAAATTTACGCAACTCTAGATCAACAACAATATAATTCCACATGAAAATGTTTTTCCCTATTACTTTTTTCGTTAGCTCATTTTGAATACCCACCACTCGTATTACAAATTGTGACAGAGATAGATGTTACCTAACAAATTTCAAGATTTTAAAATCATAACTTATTAGAAGATGAATTACACACACATTAAAATCTAAAACAAATAAAACCTATCCTAACAATTCACATACTAGCCATTTCTATTTTCTGAAATGATTTAAACTACTTAAACCATTTAAAGGAGTGAACAAATTGAATATAAATTATTAAAAATCCAAAAGTTTGAAGCAAGGAAATAGAAGAACTATACCAAGGAATTAAACAAATAATTGAGTAAAAACGCATCCAAGTATTTCCTACCAGAAAAAAAGATCTTTTTTGATGTGATCAAGAACAGGTAGAGCACAATACCTTGACAAGATGATCAACGAAGTCCTTCGTTGATCGATTTTCCTTTTGAAAGTCGATATGGGGTTTGAGCTGTGGGAGGGATGTTGTGATATCTGAGAGCCTCTTCCTCACAATGCTTCCAAAAGATGATGACTTTTTCACCATTCTTTTATGGCACTACTCAATTCCGCTGCCAAGATTTCAAGAAACTCAAAATGGTGTTTGAAGCAATTGCTTGGAGATGGAAATAGGGTGGTTAAATAAAGAGTAAAAGAGTGGCGCCAAAACTGGATTTGAATGGAGGAAGCGTAAAGCCACCATCTTCTACGTAAATTAAAGACAAGGAAGGTATAAAGCAAACACGTTCTCTGTATAAACAAAGGAGGTATTGGGATCAACGGTGCAGGATTGCTATGAGAGCAAAAAATTAAAAAAAATGTGAAAAAAGTATCCGACCTGCCGGATTCGAACCAGCGACCTAAGGATTTCAGCATACACACTACAGTCCTCCGCTCTGCCAACTGAGCTAAGGTCGGTAATTGAAAGGTTTGAGTTTTAAATGAATATATTTCGTATTTTTTTTTGTTTTAAATAACCCAACCGTTAATCTTTCAATTGAAATGAACTCTCGGGTTGAGCCTCCTTTCTAGAATGACGTGTAATATGGTCTTTAATTTATACTTTGACAAATATGTCCATTAAAACTTGGATTGATTTATACTACTCCCTCCATTCCATAAGAAGGTTCTCACTTTCCTTTTATGGACGTCCCCTGTAAAGGTTCTAATTTCCGTTTTAGGAAACAACTAACAATCTTAAATGACAAATTAATCATTAACTATTAAAAATAATACATTTATTACATCGCAGTTATCAATACTAACTACATTATAATATATATCTATTAAAATAATTTCTCAAAAATGTAGTCGAACTACTTTATTTAATTGTTGTCTAAATAACCATGCCGTTTTGCTATGAGAATCTTCCAACGGAAGGGAGGTAGTAAAACATATTTCCTCCATCCAAAAATTTCATGTATTCCATTTCAGAATGCTCTAAATACTTTTGTTATTTGCTACGGAGTATTTTTTATGAATATAATCAACTACTCTCCCGTCCCGGCCATTTCTTCCGACTTTTCTTTTTGGGCCGTCCCAATTAATTCTTCCAATTTTCACTTTTGGAAAAAATATGTGATTCACATTCATTCACATTTTTCTTACACAACTACAACCATACATTTCCACTTTATTCTCACTTTCTAAATTTGCGAGCCAAGTCAAACTTGGAAGAAATGTCCGGGACGGAGTGAGTAATTAACTTGCACAACAATGAATGCACAAACAATATGTTAAGTAGTGTGAAACAGTATTGTATAATACTACATCCGTCCCGCTAAGATTGACCCATTTTACCTTTTCGAAAAGTCCCACTAAGATTGTTTCATACCAAATTTGGTAAAGATTGTGTGGCTCTAAACCATTCTTACTTTATTCTTACTTTATCAATTTAATATCAACCACACAAACCCACTTTTCTTAATAACCGTGTCACCTTCTCTCGTCCCAATCTTAGTGGGACGGGGGTAGTAATATTTACCTTCAGTCACAAATTATCTACTTCTACAATTCTACTCAATCATATCTAAATCTACTCCTTTTGTATCAAGGGTTTCCCGGGTATGCAGAAGGGGAAAATTTTGACATTCTCTTATTGTGAAAGGACAAAAAATGAATATTTCCGATTTTAGAGAAAGTGGCGAAACAAGTGATGTCAATGGTGTTTTCACCGGTTTTGGTGGAACACGAGTTTAGCAAAACCGGCAACTTCCTAACTGATTTGCTTCCAAGATTGATTTGAAGACCCGCCTAAGCGCCTACCATATAACTATGGTTGGACTCGGGTCGGGCCACCCGACCCGTGGACCGGCCCGGCCCGCTACTGTGCGGGACCGGGACCGGCCCGGTTCTCGGGTCCGGGTCCGGGTCAGGCCTAGGCCCGGGGGGTAGGACGGGTCCGGGCTCGGGTCTCAATTTTGGTGAACCGGCCCGGCCGGGTCGGGCCCGGGCCCGGGCCAAATTGATTTTGTTTTATTTTTTTTTTCATTTTTGGGGTTCCACCCGGGTTGGGCTTGATGGGTAGGATGGGTTTGGGGGGTTTGGGAGGATGGGGTGAGGGGGGAGGGGGGTTAGGAAAGCAAAAAAAAAAAAAAAATCCAAACCGGAGGCCCGGCCCGGACCCGGCCCGGACCCGGTGGCTACCCGGGCCGGTCCCGGGTCCACTATTCTTGAACCGCCGGCCCGTCCGGGCCTAGGCCCGACCCGAACCCGGACCCGAGTCCATCCCTACATATAACTCAAAAAGTTAACATCGCAGCAGACCATCATTACTTCATGGTGAAACGATAACCACACTGACGGGAGTTCCAACGATTAGGAATTTAATAACAATTCTCAATTATAATTTATGAATGCCAAATACTCTAAATCAATTTAGTATTTCAAATAAATCTACATTTCATTTTTAATGTGTAGCATTTGCTATTTATATTACTAAATTAAAAAAAAAAATCAAAACCGCCGGAACTGAAACTAGAACTGGCCGAGTACCCAGGACCAGACCCATAAAATCCAGGTCGGTTATGGGCTTCACCATTTACGGTCTGGGACAGGGACCGAGTCCACCCCTAAGTCCAACTAACAGGAGAAAATTGCAAAAAGGTAGATCATAAACTCCCGCAACCTTCTAGGGCCATGACTCGCGGTTTACATCGTTGTCGAAGCCCTTAGAGGCAGACAGGGGCACGGGCCCACAGGCAACATAACAGAAAATGAGTTTATTATGGATTTTTTTATTTTCATCACTAATATAGTAGTTCTAAACACACACTATAACTCATACTTGGAGATGACAACTGATAGTCTGATAATACAAAACAAATATCAACATTGGCTAATGTTCAGCCCATCATCATCATCATCATCCTCACAAAATTGCTTAACTAATGAATCAATGGGTAAAGACCCAAATGGAAATGCAGATTCTGTCGCCCCAAGAGAGTCATCATTTTTAAGATCCTCACTGTCGGAATCAGCATGGTAATCATCATCATTGTACGTATGATCTTTGGTTTCTAACTGTTCAGGAACTAACGCATGTTGTGAAGCGGCTTCAAATTCCTGCACCCTCTTCAAAAGATCATCAGGTTCCGGATTTATCTCATTCAGCTCCAATGCCATTCCTGAATCAACCGCTCTCTGTCTAAGCGCTGCCATTCTCGGGCTCACTTCACCCCTACTTCCTGAGAATAATATCACAACAATGGGGTTGACTTTTAAATCACACAAGATTGCATTGTAAAAAGGGGGGTTTCCTTAAAAAGGAACTGTAACCAAATTCTGGCCCTTTCTTAGGTGGCCCCTTTTGGTCTGTCATGTCTTAACGATCACATAGAAGGTCATTTTGAGGGGAATGTTACGTAGTACTCCCTCCGTTCTTTTTTAGTTGCAACGGTCAACATTTCACATTTGCCAACGCACGTCTTTGACCGTAATTATATCTTAATTATATTAGTAAAAAAAATTAAAATTCAGATTTTGAAAATTTGTAATGAAATGAGTTGAACAATATTTTTTTAAAAAATAATTTTCATAAAATAATAGCGTAAAATGTAGTCAAAGTAGAGCATGGCATGTGAATAGTATAAAATTCAACATGTTGCGATTAAAACGGAACGGAGGATAGTATATTTTAGTGGTTTTCCGATAAAACTACCAAAATAAAACTTATGAACATAGATGGATGATCACTACTCTCTTTGGGAAAGTACCGCTATGGTCACAGCAATGTAAAATGAACATCAACGTGGTGACTTACTCTCTACAGTGACAGTGATTAAAGATCACATTTTTGTCCATTATCATTTTTGAGGGACTAGATTACACCAAACTGATAATGAGAGACTAAATTAGCAAACCAAGAACAATTGAGTGCCAAAAAAAATCAGATTTCCTGTTTTTTTGGTAAAGACAAACTGGGGCAAAATGCAATTAAAAATAAACAGCGTAAACTTGCCTGATGATCTGAAATTGTCGGTATTATCAACAGTGGATTTAAAAGCCCGGGAAACACTTCTGTATCTCGGTTTCCAATCCTTTCCCCTCCACATCAGCACTTGTTCTTCATCAAATGATAATAGCACACAAGGTACCAATTCCTTCCAATACAAGAACATAATGAATCACCACTCACCAGCCAGGTAATGCTAACATATACGGAGTACTATAAATCATTTACATTTTGATACTCCGATTGTATCTCATCTTTTTTACGTCACAGGACCATGATTTGCATCATTATTGCGAGTTTATAACTTCCTATGTTCAACAAATGCTTTTAAGTGTACGCTGGTTTCATTAAGAGTTTTAAAAACAATTACTTTTTTCAATTTTAATCGGTTTTTACACACACTATATGATATTCATTCGTCTTTGTTGAAACCCTCATATAATTCACAGTCTTTGACAATCTTTAATGTGTCATAATAACAACAGATTATGGTGCAAACAATCTATAAAGAGACAATGATCAAATGCAAACCTTAAGCTTGGCACCTAACTTCTTATAGTCACTTGCTCCCAACCCTTTGCAATCAATCTTTACCAATAGAGACCCTTCAAAGGCGTGCCTTACATCATTCACAAGTTCATTGTAGACTCCATTTTTCGCTATGATGGTAAAAAAACAGTATGTTAAGCTTAATTTTAAAAAATTGATACCAAGTACCTGTTCGGTAAGATGCTTTTTTGACTTAATTGCTTTATCAGTGAGATATTTTACCCAACACTATTTTAAAAAATCTATGTGCTGAATTGAAAGGAAAGATTGGAGGTAGATTTTTGGCTGAAGGGGGCAATTTATAGCCTTTTATCATATGCATTTTTCTACATTAATAATATACAAAGTACATTTTATATATAAGCTTTTCATAATTCAGCCAATTCAGACATTTTAGTCATAACTTCCCTGCCAAATTCAACCATTTCAACCACAACTTCAGCACAGATTCAGCCAATTCATTTTTTATTAAATGGTCTCTAACACTACAAGTAGGATTGATGATTTATAAGACCCTTTTTGGGGGCGAACGGAAGAAACATGTTAAGTTTGTTAAAATTAATTCAGAAAACAATAAAATTTTAAAACAGATGGTAGGATTGATAATGTACAAGAGAAAAATACTGCTTTTTGGGGAAGGGCCGACTGAGGGAGTATAAGATAACAGTGCATGGAAACTTGCATAATACCTAATTTGCATATAGGAAGCAACTTCTTTCCCCTTTCTCGAAATTCATCAGCTTCTTCTTTGGTTAACCCTTCCGGAGCATCCTGTATAAGCTTTGGATAAACTGGTGCAGCTGGCTTCCATAGCATAACTGGTAGCTTTGGACGGAGATGATGAACATAGTTTCTTCCTCGAAAAACATAAACCACTCCACCAACTCGACAAATGACTTTTCCACCTGTCTTCTCCTGGTAGGAATCATAACAATATATTTAAAATATGGAGTAGCATTATACTATCGTAATAAATACCCTGGGTTCTGTTTGGTAGCCATATCTCACTTATTATATAGAATAAGTAGTTTGTCTAAAATGGATGTTACCAATTGGTTTTCCTTTAAGAAAAACTGAAAAACCATCAGATTGATACACTCTATTTCAGCCGAATAAACCTTACCAAACAAACCTTTAATCTATGTGAGAGTTTATGAAAGAACCTCAATACAGCGACAAAGGTTCTTCATATCAACAGTTGGAACGCCTAAACATCGAACTTTGCAAACAGGATGCCTTCTCCAGTGGGTATGTATTAACTCCAACATATTATGTGTTAATCCATCCCGCCCTGTTCACACCAGAAATTCAGAAATCCCAACAAAAGTTCCCTATAAGACCCCGTTTGGTAGCCTTGTCCTGCTTATTCTACTTACAAGAAGAATACGTAGATTCTGACTTGCTTATTTGGCTTAAATGGACATAACCAAATGTTATTTCTGCTTAAAAATTCAGAAGGATTAGCCATTTCAGCCAAAAATAAAACTTACTAAACCGGCCCTAGTTTAAAGCCTAAATGGATTGGATGCCTCGCAGAATGAAACTAAAGTCCTCATTCTATGAGCTATAAACCTCTCTATCTTTAACAAAGATGGAGAAAAACAATTGAGGGCCAACTACTAATTCATGCATAAATAAACTGGCAAGAATAAAAATTGAAGAAGATAAACCTAGTGTATAAAAGAAGTGAAAAGAAACACTAATACAAATAGACTTACCAAGATTGACCTGTCGGTTACTAGATACTCGAGGTTTTAGAAGCTCCTTTATTTCGTCTTTTGTTAATGGCGGCCCCATCACATCTTTCCTCGGCCTCACCTCATACTTGCCAAGCTCATAAGCTTTCAACATTTGGTAGTGATGTTGCTTTCCGCCATTTCCAACTTTGGGATCCAACGGTTCAAAAAGCTTAACCTTTCTCTTCTTAGACTTCTTGAGCGGAGCTTTTCCGGTCCACGGCCGAGGCATTGTGGGCGGCGCGAAGGGCAAGAAAGCGGGTTCCCGAATTGCCAGTGGCTGAGCTTTGGGCGTCTCGGAATAACTGTACTGGAACTCGAATGGAGCCCCAGGGAGACGGTAGGAAACCCCATTTTCTCCGACGATGACGGCGCGGTCTCCGTCGGCTGAGATGACTTCGCCGGGATTAACGGGTTTGGGGTATTGGGAGTTCAGTAACCGGGTCTTAAAAGCCGGGACCTGATTACTCTTCTGTGGGTTTTTGTGTGATCTTAAAGGAGGTGGGTACTTGGGTATAGGGATGGGGGGTTGTGGAGGCGGCGCGTTGCGGTGGTGGGGGTCGCCGGGAAACTGCCGCGACGAAGTGGTGGGGAGACTGGAGAAGAGGTCGAATCCATGAAGCATTGCTAGAATTGCCATTCAACAAAGCTCTGATTTTTAGAATACGTACCATAGCCCAGTGCAGCTTCTTTCTTCTTCCTCAGTCGCGATGAGGCTGGGAGGTGATGATAGAGTACAGAAGATATTCTTTTAGTGCCCCATACGACAGCGTATCATCATTTGCTGTACACCGTGTTTGGTATGACAGGATGGAAATGAGGAGATCTTGGCGGTAACACCGAAATTGTAATTGGTTGATTATATTGAAACATATGAAATTCTGATCGAAGTAATAAATCGATTCTATTGTTTTATGAAAAAATAATACTCCCTCGTATCTAATCAATTTACTCGTTTGCTTTTTTACGCAGTTTAAGATAATTACTGTAGATTATATAAAAAATACGGAGTAAGAGGTTTTTGGTATTGTAGCGGTACTGTAGCTGTAGATTATATAAAAAGTAAATACTAATATCTAAAATGATCCTGTACAGTAACAATTTTAGCCAATATAGTAAGAAAAGTAACTTCAACGTTATTTTTTTCTTATTATTACACATCTCAGCGTGTGAAAAGGTTGACTAGTAAATCTGATAAATCGAAAAACATGGTCATCTAACTCCTTATTGACTTATTCAATTGACTAGCCTCCCATGTGATATTGTGCTCACAATTAACTAGGTCCGTAGAAGTCAAAGAAGGCCTAGAGCCCGTTTGGCAGCACAAAAATCGGTTGATTTGGCTGATTCTGCTGATATTTATGAAGTTCTGGCTGAAATGACTACATTGGCTGATTCTGTTGATTGAAGAAAAAAGTATTTTTAAAATATATTTATTAATAAAATAAAGAAAAAATTATATGTAAAAATAGCTAAAATGGTCATCCACAGTAACTTCAGCCAATACAGCCAGAAAAGTAACTCCAGCCTTACTTTTTCTGCTTATTACACAATTCAGCGCGCGAAAATAAAAGTTACGTATTTGGTGAAAAAGTTGGCTGATAAGCCTGATAAGCCGAAAAGCATTGTTGCCAAACGGTCTCCTATTCTTTTGTAAAAATAATAACCGCAATTTACTTTATCCTCATCTAATCCACACCTATATACTCCGTACTCTTTAATTCGGTCTTCTAACTCCTGAATATATGACAAAAATAAAGAAGAAAAATTTCATTAAGATCTCATTTTCAAAATAAAAACACACTTATAATGATAACTTTTCATATTCACATTTTATATTTGTAATCAATGACTACGGTCCACAAGATATATGAAATTACATCAAGTACAAAAAGACTTCATTTAGCATTTGATAAATAGTTACATAAAGGACACTATGTGTATATTAACAAATGATGGGATAAACAAAAGACTGACATAAGAAGTTCTTTTCATAGTTCTCATTTTATCCATAAACTTTATTTTGATTACACTTAAGTAAAAAACTCATATAAAACCTCATATAATAATATATACAGCTCTTAGAAAAAATATACTGAGTATTTCTATTCCTTTCTGATATGATTGTGTTACACATTAAAAATAAGATACTACGTATTATCACATACTCGCACAAAACATGACCATTGTGATTACTGATTAGGGGTGGTTTCACTAATTTGGTACGGTATATTGAATATTTTCTCTCATACCTTTGTCATAACAAAATTTCCAACATACAAAATTTTTATATCATTACCTTATCAAAATTTTGATATACAGTATTTCGGTATGCCGAAGTTTCAGTTCAGTAACAGTGCGGTATCGGTAAATTATCATGAATGTTTCTCAATGCAACAAATTATCATAAACTAACGAAAAATACAAAATTGGTGTTAGTTGCGACATACATAATGTGTTATTAAAATGTAAAAAAATACAAATAATAATCTATTGATATCATATTCAATATTGAACAATGATTATTACTCCGTATTAGTTTAAGCAGTTCAACATGTCACATATTAAGAAATAACACAGTCTCCCAAAATAACTTAAACAATATAAATATAATTAAATCAATAGTGATCTCTAACAAAAAAATTATTTAAAAACATTAATATAAAATGGGAAAAAGTACAAATATACCCTTGTATCATGGGTGTCAGAACAAATACACCTCTGTTCTATTTTTTGGAATAAATATACCTATGAAGTATATGTGGAAGTGCATATATACCCCTTAACTTTTAAAATGTGAAAAAATACCCTTCATGTTCTTATGAAGGAGAAAATTTACACTTATTGACTTTAAATTAATAAAATAAATTTCAAAAAACACCAAACATAAATTATAATTTCGAATTAAAATATTATTTTTTAAAAAATGTACTTGTGTCCAATTTTTCCTTCAATTGTTTTTTATTTCATAATTTAATATTGTTAGTATAAAATATTGTTTCAAAACATTACTATATGTTCAAGATTCTTTCGAAAAAGTGTTAACATACGTGTTGCAATATAAAAACAAATTAATTTTTTGCATTCTTTACACTATAAAATTATATATTTTGTAAGACGATAAATAGTTCAAGATTATAAAATAGTGAATTTAATTTTATAAAGGGTAAACAAAATCAAAGAATCTAATTTAAAAAAATGTAACAATAAGTTCAAAATTTCACAACAAGACTTGAATTAATATTTATGAATTTGAAGTGTTTCATTAACAAAGAAAAAATAATAATTTTGCAATTTAAAATTAAAGAGTTAATATTTTAACATAATTTATGATAAATCTATATTTTTAAATTTTGAATTTATAATTCATTTGTGGTGTTTTTTGAAATTTATTTTAACTATTTAAAGTCAATAAGGGTAAATTTGCTCATTTATAAGAATATAAGGGGTCATTTTGCACTTTTTAAAATTCCAGGGGTATATATGTACTTCAACATATACTTTAGGGGTATATTTGTTCCGAAAAATAGAATAGGGGTATATTTGTTCTTACACTTATACTACATAGATATATTTGTACCTTTTCTATATAAAATCATTTATCCCTAATATGATGTTGTGTATTTAGCTAGTCATTTTTTAAATTTTATAAAAAAATTGAATAGGACCTTCCGTATAACGGTATAACTTTTGTACCATTTCGAAGTAATTCGGTACGGTACTATACGATACCGAAAATGTTAGTGATAGAGTATATGAGTCTAGACCCAAGGACCCACATACTCAGAAGAATAAGAAGTACAACTGTCAACCGGTGGGAGAAGGGAATGTGGGAAATGAGATACCTGCTTTGAAATTTTGGTATTTTCCTCCTGCCCTAATTGTGGTGAGAGAAATTAGAGAGTATGATCGGAATTTGGTTAAAGATAAACTAAAATTATGAGTTTTTAGGAATATACATCTCTATCATCTTAAAAATTTGAGGGTCTGCTTACTAACAGAGATATTTTCCAGTTTTTTATTTTTGTTTTCCGTTCTCCAATTTTCTGTTTTTATTTTCCAGTTTTTCTATCTTCAATTTTGTTTTCATTTCTTAGTTTTCCATTTTCAAATCTGAAAACATATTCATACAATTTTTTCACTCGGTTCTGTGCCCTATCAAAACATCGAAACTACGGTCCCAGTCCGGAACCGAACCTAGTACAAACCAAGTAGGGTACTGGGTCCCACGTATAGGAAAGTCGGGACCGAAACCGGCCGGTCCTGGTCCATGTTAACAATTAGTTTGATGAATTCTTTTCTCATTTCCCTATTGGCTGAGTGGTTGACAACTCAATGGCTCTTTTAAAACTCTTCACTTTAAAAAATGATTTCAAAAAAACGAGGCTGAACCGCCGGGTCATTGACCATCCCGGATAGGGACCGCTAGGTCGTTTACGGGACTGCCTCAGGATTGCCCGGTTGTCAATCGAACCAAACACATCACACATTTTAGAGAACGAACACACTTTTTTGGTGACTATGACAGACTGGATGGGGACCACCGAGTCGCTGATCAGAAATGACGGGGACCACCAGGTGGTTAACCTGAGAGGACGGGGACCGCCGGGTCATTGACCGGAACGTACGGGAATTGTCGAGTCGTTGACTAGACCGGATCGGACCGGGACTGCGCAACCGTTGATCGGACTGAACAAGTACTGCCTGGTCGTTGATCGGACCAGACCAGACAAGGACCGCCGGGTCGTGGACCGGACGGAACAGGGGCCGCCGGGTCATGGACTGAACCGGACAGGGACCATCGGGTCGTGGACCGGACCAGACAGGGACCGCCGGGTTGTCAATCGTACCGGGACTGTCATCAGGTCGTCGGCCAAACTGGACCATGATTGTTGGGTCGTCGACCGGACCAGACATGGACCGCCGGGTCAATGATCGGACTAGACCGTCGGGTCATTGACCGGACCAGACTGGGGTCGTCGAGTCATTGAACGGACCGGACTGGAACTGATACCATATGGGGACCGGATCCAACATCAGGTGTAAGTATTCAAATTCATTGATGCAGCACTACAACATCCACGTTTTCCAAATTTGGAAAACTAGTAAAAGTTACTTCTCCAATTCATTAAAGAAAACAAAGGCTTATCTCATTTTTTGACTTTGGAAAACGATTTGATAAACGCAATTTTCCTTTTTCTTTCTTCAGTTTTCCAGCAATTTTTTTGGTAAACACGTTTTCTGTTTTCCTTTTTTTCAGTTTTTTAATTTTTTGAAAAAATGGAAAATGACTCTATTAGTAAACAGACCGAAGTTCTGGCCACAAGATCTATATAATTATAGGAGTCAGGCTCAATTATTTACAAGACCAATCCAATCTAAAAAAATGCACTTTCTTTTCTCAAGTTTACACATCACACATTTTAGAGAACCAACACACTTTTTTGGTGACTATGTTTGACTTATCAGTCATCTTTTTCATCAAATAGTACGTTACTTTAGATTTCACGTGTTTGATTATGTAATACTCCATATTAAGTAATACGGAGTACTACGGAAGAAAAGGTAAAGTTAACGTTACTTTTCTGGCTTTGTTGGCTGAAGTTACTGTAGATGGTCATTTTAGCTATTCTTCATATAATTTTCTCTCTATTTAACAATAAAATTTAATACTCCATCCGTTCTTTTTTTAGTTGCAACAATCCATTTTTCACGTTTCCAACGCACAACTTTGACTGTCATTTTATTTAATTACATATTAGTAAAAAATAGTTAAAAATTATATTATGAAACTTAATAA